AGTTTGTGGCCCCCGCCTTGGTATGAAAGATTAATGTTAGTGCGGCCCGTAAGTCACTCAGCTCAGTTAGAATGATTGATGCATTTAATATATGATCAGGACAACTAAAGTAAAACAAAATATTTTATATTCTATCCCCCGAAAGGCATATGCGGTACGGTAACCTACTAGTACCGTGCCTGTAAGAATGATATTCGATGAACCTTTGACCCCAAAGAAAATTATCTTATACCTCACCATTGCAAATTCTTGGTGCTTATTTTAAAGGTGGCTTCGCGAGTTAAAGCCTACAAATTGGGATATGTTTCACGTCATCATTTTGATTCAAAACATTCAACAACCTGTTTTTCAACAGTACCTGTAGAGAAGTTTAGCCTAGTCTATCACAGCTATTTCTAGACTAATTTTTGATTACTGCAATCAGGCTACGACGTTCAAGCAATCAGAATGATCATCGAGTTCTTTGATTCATACTTGAATTTCTGAAACAAAACCCAAAACTAACGAATAGCATGCAAAAACGAGGTAATGTTTACAAACATGCCTGAAAATCTTTTTGAGTGACAAGTGTCTGAGCGTTTGCGAAAAAGTCTATTGTTACGTCACTTTTTGCGTCGTGCTGATTAGCCAATGTTACGGAATAAACAAGTAGATGCTCGGGGAAAGGTCCATCGCGGAATTACTTACATTTATGTTTTGAGATGTTTTGCGAATAGAAAAATAAAGAAAAACATTCAACTTTTTAAGTTTAATGCTTTTATTGTGAAAAACCTGATGCGGCCCGGACCCACTTAGGCTCTGTCTCGTCAGCCCCCAGGTAAATTGAGTTTGAGACCTCTGTTAATAAAATATATCATGTTGTGTCATTTCTCGTGTTATCAACGATCAGCTGTTATGGTGTATTATGACATCATAGATCGGCGTCTATTGGACATTTATCAAGAGATACGCGTCCCAGCAGTTTTATGTTTTATATTTTCCATCATCGTTAATTTGATTATATAGTGGACAGTTTATTGCCAATAGCCAGATAAAAGTTCTCTAAAAAGCGATTTTCATCCGGCAAATTCTCGTGTTATCGACGATCAGCTCTTGTAAATGACCATTGTCTTAGTCTAGTTGCGGTGTTCAATCGGCAAACGCATAGGGATTAAAGAATAAAAGGGTAACGTAACCTTACTTTATAAAAATGTAATGTTTTGGTGAATGTTACGCGGGGTATTTGGAAGTAATGAGAAGTTTAAACTTCAGCTCAATGATTAAAATAATGAAAGATCTTGTGAAAATGCCTACATTTTAAAAATAGGTTAATTGTGAAAGGATGGATTTCTTTATAATTTCCGTTTCCAAAAGCTTGCGAAATACGGAACTCTTGTACAAAGCCCCCGCCAAGAATGCAACAATTTGGGGTTCGGGTTAGTTATTATTTGGAAATTTGAATTTTCAGCGTAATCTGCATTTCTAGCCACAACCCTAACTAGATCATTTCAATTTCATATTTTTTGAGCAACGGAGGTAATGGTGTTTTCTATGGCGGGGGGGCATAGAAATACTCATCTGGGACATTATTACCTATTATTAACTAAAATGAAAATGGAATGAACAAAGCAATTTCAAACAAAAAGCAATTTCAACATTAGCTCTTCACAAAAATGTGGTAACCCTACCAAAAAATTTCATTTTTCAGATTATCATTTAACGTGAACGTGGGCCATTTTACTGATTTTAATATTGAGTTTTTTGAATATTTCAGCAATATTTTTAACATGATAGATATGGTATGGATTTATGGTAAACGTTCATTAATTTTTTTTTGTGGACAGCAATATTAGGCCGCGAGCCGAGGCCATTTATCTTTCAGTTTCGTAGCGCACATAAGGTAACTACCTGAAAATGATTTTAAAATGTTCCTTAGAAATTTAGTAACAAATATTGCCTTGTTCCCACTTCCAAAAGTTGCACGTTTTACAGAAAAGACGCTTTTACTACAATAAATATGCGTTACAATCTGTCCTATTTTCTCTGCATTTCCCGTATCATGGGCCAATGAACGCAGACTTCTGCATGACGTAACAATGAAATTAGTCATCTGTAGGTGGATCCTCAGTGGTCGGATGAATATCAGATTTACTACTACTGCTCGCTTTTGCGTTGAGTAGCCTTTTCATAGTTTTTTTCAGTTATTGTTAGTTCAGTTATTCTAAGGAGGTGTTGAAAAGTATAAGTAAGATATTCAACACTTGTATATTCTTACCATAAATAGCAATTTTAGTTGAGCACTAGCTCATAAGACGTTGAATAGGTACGGTGCGGTAACTCCAAGGAAGGCTAGACCTAGAATATTATGTCACAAACAACGATATTTTCTGGCTTGCATGAGATGTTTATGATTAATTTAATGACTATTCTTGACTATTCAGCAGACTTATACTACTATATAGGCCACAGCATATTTGGAAATAGAAATTAATGGCTGTTTCTGTAATGCACGGTTGTGTGAAAGAGAAGAAAATGAACAATTTTACTAATGTCGGTTGGTCTAAATCTAAATTCATAGAGTTGACAAGAACCTGGGAAGCAATGATAAGTTATTCCGGAGTGGAAAGAAAGGTAGCATTGGAAACGATTGAGAGATGAGAAATCAAGTTGTAGACAGACAGTTGATGTTTTAAAATATAGTCTATAGTCCATACTCATACTGTCATAGGGCATTTCAGACTGTGATATATCAAAATTTGGTGTAGATATATTCTAGTAATGGTATGCAAACACTTCTGAACTGTAAGACATGCAATGAGCATATATTCGCTATTTGAGTACATCAGATAAAATGCATTATGTATTTAAGGTATTAGTTAGTATTTAGTGGTATTTTTACACTCATGCTGTTCCAAATATGATTTTCTTCATCATTTTAGATACTGTGCTACAAAAGAAAACGGCAATGTTCCACCAATCCGACCTAACGCAGGCTCTAATCCCTGCTGCTATCAGTGCTATAAAATGGATTAAACAAGAAGTCTTGAAGCGTAAAGGTATATGAGAATCATAATAGTTGCAAACAGCTTAGATGGGCTATTCATATTGAAATACTTTAGCACTTTTTTATTTGTTCACTGTATCAAGAGGATATCAAGAATGTAAATGATACCAGGGCACGTCTATTTAACACTGGCAAACATAAGGATTATACGTAGTAGTATATATTTACGATTATACTCTGCCACCCAACAATGATTCACTGAAGAAGCAAGTGGCCCTCAAATCAGTTCTTGAGTTGGCAAACTGCAAGTGTAAGAAAAATAGTCAAAATAATTTATGCAAGTGTGCCAAAATCAACTTGAATTGCACAGATTTTTGTTTTTGTATTGACTGCAAAAATCACAGTACACTTATAGAGGAAAAGTCGATTTTCGAGATAGTGGATTTCGAAAACAATTCAGAAGAAAGTGAATTAGATATTGCAGTTGTTCTATTAAGTATCATTTTTTTTTTCGGACATTTGTTAGTGCCGTAGTCCTGTTTCTAGAAATAATATTGCCTTTGTTCAAATACATAATCACATAAACTAAAAAAAAAAAACTAATTGTAATATATCTCTTCACTATGTCATGTACATATTGTACATTCATTTAATTTTTTTGACTTTTCCGGTAAATTTCTAAGTGAGAAATAACTGATTTATTTGTGTTTTCGTGCTCACGATGTTAATTTGTGACTTCATTGCTTAGAATAAATACGTTTGATAGCTTCTATAAAATGGATGTAGCGTTTTATGCTGTTCTTGTTGTAAACTGCTTGTGGTTATTACATAAAATTTATTCGCTAATGTGAATCAGCGTTGTTGGTGTCGCTGCTTTCGAGGTCACTCGCGACTCCTGTCACACAATTAAAGTATTTTTGGTGTTGGTTACTTGTATGCCCTAATTTTCGTAATCTACCTAATAAATTATGATTGACTGAGGAAGTCCGATTTTGGTCAGGCAAAACATTACAGGAATACATTTGTGTTAGTGTGCTGTAGGGCTCTCGAATTGCATAGTTCTTATGTATGTGTTGTAAACTTATGGTTATTGAATTTCCGGGAACCTCTTCTGGAACAAGCTGTAATGCGTTCAGTATGTTCATTTTCACACAAAACTGAAGAATTTATTTAGTTACCAGATGTGCGATACTAAACTCATTTTCTGGGCGTTTTCAAGGCTTCGTCTCACGGCCCATATCAGTGGTAAAGATCTACAAGTGTTTAATAACTTACTCATACATTTTTCAACAACGTCTTAGCATAACTTAACTAATAATAACTAAACAGGGCTATGGAAAAGCTGCCCAACTCAACGCAAGGTCGAGCAGTAATAACTAATATTAATCCGCTCGCTAACAGCTGATTCGATTCAATTGTTACGTCGTGCAGAAGTCATTGTTCATTGATAGGACAGATCGTAGCACATATTTCTTGCAGTAAAAGCGTCTTTTTTGTAAAATGTGCAACTTTTGGAAGTGGGAAGACAATATTTGTTACTAAATTTTTAAGGAACATTTTAAAATCATTTTCAGGTAGTTACCTGATGTGCGCTACGAAGCTCACTTTCTAGGCGTTTTTCAGGGCCTCGGCTCGCGGCCTATTTTGGATATAACATTTTAACCTAATAAATAATGTGTTATTTGGGCCAAACGTCGTTCGGCCTCAAATGCTTTTCTGGCGTTGCTACTAAATATCTCAAAGGGATTGATATTTGGTTTCCTCCGTTCATTGAAATGTTATAATCGTCAAAAGTTTGAATCATGTCTTTAAGCTTGCGTAATGATATTTCTGTTGCACGAATGATTTCTTCGACCCATTATTTGTTTTGCTCTGTATTTGATGATAGATCGGCCTATTTCTGTCATGTGCCAGAAAATTACATAGGTGGGCGCTTAAGGCAATCAAATATTTAGCTATGATTAGATTCAATAATACATTAAGTTGTTTATGTAAGAATTAAATACACAGCACAACATCCACATGATTATAAAATTCTTTCACATTCTTTTTTCAAATTAAGTCTTATATCAAGATAATAGATCGATGTTGCTCAAATGATGAACTGGTATTGTGACGATAGTATATATTTATATATATATAAAATATGATTATGACATACGGCACGCCAATTGCACAATGTTACTTATCTATGCCACTGGTGAGTAAACATTTTGTTAATGAAGGAATTAATTTTATCAGAATATCGCCTAGCCATTGCTTTCATTCATGTTTATAAACACACATTAATTAACCCAAGTAGGTAGATTTCTCCATTCCGTCTCGGATGTGTGGCCTATACTGCAGATGCGTCTCGAACAAGGTGCTCTCAAATTGTTCATGCTTTCTTACGAAGTTGACGTAATCGCTGGCCTCTAGTAAAAATAGTGTATCAAAATATTTATTTATTGCTAAGAAAGTAGAACAAACGGTTTCTCGTATTTCAAATGTACACCAGACACTTTTCAGCTAGGAGAAGTAATGATCCAATTTCAAGTTATAGTTGGTGTAGGTTGAGTGTTTGCAATGGTAAAGTATATGAAGTAATCTGTGGCCAAGGATTAGAGAAATATCTCTAAATAGAATAAATATAAATACCTGGATACGTTACATTATCAGCAACAACGACAGTTCCCTTTTGAATTAATCCTGTGTCAAGCAATTCAATCAATTCTTTTTTATAATTTGGTGGGTCGTTATCGATTAACACCAAGTCGATTCTTTCTATTCCGTAATTCTCCTTTAATTTTGGTATAACTTCATGTGCATCACCCAGTATTACTTTCACCTGGAACGATAGTTTTTGAACGAAAACATCCACTTAGATCTATCCAATCCCGACCGAGTGCAATAGCTGGTCTGGTGCAATTGTTAAAGCAAATAGAGAAGCGGACAAGCGCTATCTTTACCCTATTATTGACATGCACTACAGACGACACAGAATCAATTCCCCCAAAACATATCACAAAGGCGCAAATGGGTACAGAAATACAGGGGTGTGTACAGAACTTCACACAGAAATTGGGAGTGTTAATGATGGATGTTTACTTTGTATTCACTGATGTTAATAATTCCCTAGATTACAAAAACCCCTTTATTACATTAAAATGGTGATTTTTCGTAATCAACAATGAAGCAACTAAAACTGTAATTACTTTGTCCTAAATGGTTAGTGAATGGGACGTCTTGAACTCGTGGGCATTGTGCTAAGTATAAATCGCCCAATCTTTCTCAGAATATAACTTAGTAACCCGTCGCCGAAAAGGCATTTAGTTGAAATGCAACAAGCGAGCATTACTCAAATATATGTAAACAAATGTCAATTGAATAATTCAAATGGCTATATTTTAGCTGCGAAAACGGAGTGCGAAGTAGTGCATTAACCTTATTCATTATGAGGTCTAAGGCTAAGAAATGCGAAGCCGGAAAGAAGTGAGGAGCTCAAAAGGAATGTGGAAAATCGAAAGCAAATGGACTAAGGGTCTCTAACTGATTCAAATAGCGAAACAAGCGACAAAAACGAAGGCGAGGAAACTATCAACTCTTCAAGCAACCAACGAACGAGAAGGAATGCGTGATATGTCAACACGTTGTTGTAAAAAACGTCGTCATTGTGTCGTCATAATTTCGGGGCTAGCCCCGATCGGCCCCGATGATTTAGTAAAAGAAACAGAAAACAAACGAGACAAACGCGGCGAGTGGAAGATAAAAGAGAGAATACGATATACAATGAGCAACCGGGGCAAAATCGGCGTCGCCCCGTCGACGTTCGGCGAAGGCTTTGCGAGCGAAAAATGAACCATGTCGGGGGAATATGGCTAGTGTAGACAGTCTGTGCAACCGATATTGAGGTATTTTTCGAATATTTTTTATTATACCGAAGCAACAACCGGGGCATTGCCCCGGTTGGCCCTATTGACGCACCGCCACTGCTGAATATATTTCCGAGTCTTAAATCTCCCGGCGCAATTTTTTTTCAATATCACCAATTTCAGAAATTGCTGTGAGTGGGCAAAGTACATTGAAGAGAAACTAAATTGAAAGCGCTAAAAGCAACACAAACGAACTATCTTGATGATTTATCTTTATTTTGTAATAAATTTTGTAAGAACGTCAACTGGAACTTCTGATTGACGCTTTGGAACAGCATAGAACATTCCTCCTGCTCCTCAAAAACAAACCCGGAGTCCTGTTTTTCGGACTCCGAATTGTGCTCAACACTATAGCACATGGCTACTCAACTATTTTTACCAAAGATCCGCATATGAAAAACTTCAAAAATTATTTGGGTCCGGTGTTTTCAGAAATTATATTTCGGCATCCTTAAACGCATACTTCCTTCACCGGCTAATGATTATCAGATAATCGAAATTGTTTATTATAGTGTTATAGTTCTTTTCATACATATTCAAATCAATAAAAGTCATTTTATAAAATGAAAATGAAGTGGGGCTAATGATCCAAAATAAAAAATTAGGTGCGGTCCGAATCAAATACTCGAAAGATCCGGGTTCGGCCCGCTAATGGACCTTTCCCCAACCTTTGACCCCCGAAAAATTCTTCCTATACCATTGCAAAATGTTGGTGCCTGTAAAACGGGGTATGTGTTTCAAACCATCATTATGATTCATCGCATACAACAATCTGTTTTTTAAAAGTACCGGTAATTTTTTTTAGCCTAGTCTATCACAGCAATTTATACATTAAATTTTTATTACTGCAATTAAATTAAAACTCCTAGGAAGACAGAGTGATTATTGAATTATCAGATTTATATTTAAGTTTCCGAAACACAACTGAAAACTAACGAAAAGAGTTCAAAAACGCGAAAACGAGGTAATGTTTACGACCACGATTGAAAATCTGTCCGAGCGGATGCGAAAAAGGAGCATTGTTACGTCATTTTTTGCATCTTGCTGATTGGCCAAAGTCACGAAGTAAACACGGAAGTCGATGCTCGGGGACCATGGACCTGACCCCGGCATCCATACATCCGTATTCCTAACCAATCACAAGCGAGCAGATGTAAACAAGCATTCTCCGCTGAAAGTCGCTCAGACTGGGTCTGGAAAGGATTGTCAGGGATCTAACCAGATCTGCCCTTGAACTCTTTAGTTGAAACTACCTCAAGTGCCGTTGATGAAAAGTACAGCGCTTTATCAGACAGCAGAAAAATGTAAGCAAGCATCATCATCATTTTATTTTGATTCTCTGGCATGGTCAAGTCAAGTTTATTTTTTCCAACCAGTAAATAAATAAAAAAAACAATTGAATACAGAAAATACAAAAAAAGGAAAATTACAGTTTTAATGGGGAAGGGAAGTCGTCGAGCAGTGACACCCAAGGTTCAAATATCTAATTTGAATAAGTGAAATTTTAAGAGGTAAAAAACTACTGTTTTAATCTAAAATCGTTTAATAGAGATAGTTAGTTTCTTGAGAGTGCATTAAAGAGTCAGAAAACCAACTGCTGGACGGAGGATTTCCCAATTCCGTAAATTAATTAAAGCAAGGGGTGTTCCGACATTTATGAATATATATACATAAATACACTCAATTCAGTCAGTATTGAATAAAACAACACAAAAAGTCAACAGACAAACAAAATGCAGTGAAAACTGGAAGTCGAGCATAACTTGAATTAGAGTACCCTACCCACTAAAAAAAGAAATTATAATAATAAAAGTGCACGAAAGAATTAACAAGATTCGGAATCGGGCAACAATTTTAACATAATTCAGAATGAGAAAACACATACTTTTAGCATTGGTCATATTTGCTAACTGTAAAAATGATGAATAAAAAAGAAAATTAATATTGAAAACTTGGGACTTCATGCAGAATCTTTCACAGTAAATTGGTGATAGAATGAATGATGTTACTTGATGGAGTAAGCTTTGCATGCATGCCATGTCCGGTGTGACCCTGGTGATTGCAATAACATTTTTTGTTTATCACATCAAGGTGCTCCTGATACCAGAAGTTGGCCCTGCACTTGGTAGTAACTGTGGTGTGTGATAAATATCCTTATTTTGTTAGGTTGTTTTGCATATATCACTGTCATATAAATCACAACTTGTTCATAATCATCTGATAACTTAGAACCAAACCAAGTGGTGTTTGCCCATCTGACAATGAGGTAGTGCTCAGTGAGCGCAATTCTTCTATATTATCAGGAGATGAAACCAGGCAGTTTTACTAAAATAACTCAGTAGTAAAATCATTGTGATACATTATGTCTGTGAATGTAATTGTGAAATGAATCTAATTCTATTATTGTGACGCTCCATTGCTTTCATGGCTTTTGTTTGTAGTGCCTAAAAGCATATATAGGTGCGTCTTTTATCTTATACAACGCAATATCTGGAAAACTGTATAATTTGTAGTAATTTTCTTAGATTTACTTGCTTGTTCCTTTATCATATATATTTTTTATAATGCGTCATCATCAGTGAAATGTTATTTGAAGACCTTCAATTAAAACAAGCAACGTACCATTCTATCGCCCTGCACAAGTCTGAATATTTGCAAAGTTCGTCTGAGCGACCAAAATCAAAAGTGTTGATTTCATCACATGTGCCACTCCCATTCATTTTCTTGATTTACAATTACTTGAAAAAGAATGTGAACGAGTTCTGAAACCTCGCGGATGCTGTGCTGTTTAAACTAATATTTGGGGCAATATTAAGAAATATTTTGTAAGAAGAACTGACTGGAGACATAAGATAGTTTCACTAAATCCGATTGTTGCCGACTTCCTTGTCAATGTGAGAGCACATCTTAATAATTTTGCGGCATTAAAACGAAATTGACAATTTCATGATCAAATCAGAAATTCGTATAAATTATGGCATCAAGAAATTGTATGTGAAAGAGAAATGACCCTTCGTCAATTCAAAAACGTTTTTCGAACTTCAGGTGATTATGCTATTTTTATGAAACATGACAAGCCAACAACAGATCCTCTCGAGATTTTTGATTTGGACATCAGACAGGCACTCGAGCTCGGATATGTCTCTTCGAAAGAAGACCTATTTTTAAAAGTTCAAATGGTGTATCCTATTTTTGTGTTTACAAACATATCACTTCGTGACTCGACAATATATCATGAGGGGAAATTGACATATATATTTAGAAATGTCATATAAATTTTTCCTTTGAATTTACTGAGAAAAAATACCTCATACACTAAGAGGGTTTTTTCATAAATGTCAATTAATTATTTTCTCATATTTCAATACTAAATTGTCAGTCAAATTTAATGTTTTCACAGGATAATGAATTCGACCTTAGTTTAAAGCAGGGGTGTGCAAACTGCGGCCCGCGGGCCAAATGCGGCCCGCAAGAAGAAGTTGTGCGGCCCGCGGAGAAATAACAATTTCGAATGGTGTACCCGCAAAACGAGTATTTATTCTTTCTCGTCGCAAAGCCCATACCAGTCATATTAGCAAAATAAGCTAGCAAAATTCTGTGACAAAATACACGATTTATATTACAAAAACGTGTTTCTCACTGCATTCGTTTGAAGTCGGTGTGACAAAAAATTTAAATAGCAGTTTCTTCAGAAGTTTAAGCTACTATTTCTGCAAGAACCCCTAATAATACCGTAAGATCAATAGCAAATATAGACAATTTTTGTGCTTGCAACTACCAGAAAGCCTAAATTAAATAAAGGTGCGGCCCGCGGCATCACCCAGTTACTTGTATTTGGCCCGCCAATAAAAAAGGTTGCACACCCCTGGTTTAAAGTATAGAATTGTGTTTATACCAGCGAAAAGTTGCCATTCCACGGGATGGGTAAAGGTCTTAGATCACGAGCAAAAAATATTTTAAATTTTCCCTGACTAGCCGAGCAAGTAAAATATCGAAAAAAAGTATTCTTGAGAAGCAATAAGTCTTGTATAAAAATTGAATTTATTATTGATAAGGCTAGATTGTATAAAAGCTAGATTTTATAAAAGGTGACATAATATCATTTAAACTCTCTCCCAGGCATTGTTTATTCCCATTAATCAGATTAGTTCAGCAATAGACACTGCATCGTGAACTGAAACCGGTTGCTGCGCAGACTACGCTCATATCCGTCACATATTAGTGCAAAAAGCAAAAAACTGGGGTTCCGCAGCGCTCCAAGTTCCACCAGTAGCTCACTGTCCAGGGGGTCCGTAAGTTTACATTCAA